GCGAAATATAACAATAAAAGTGTGCATAAGGGAGGAGGATGGAGAAGGAATGCCTCTTCTGTCGGGGTGCAGTGCATGCCCTATTAGCTCATGTCGCCAATCAAATAACGCCGACTGTGCACCGTCACGGCTTTCATCGTCTTTCTTTGAGCACATCCTTCGCGGTTGATAGACCGTGAGAGTGCGCTTTTATCCTGTGCGTATGCATTTGCGTGTCTTTCAGCCTATGACTGCCGCTCTGACCCAAGTATAAACCAAATACAGGAAGGTCGTTTGCTATCTTGGAGCGATCTAGGCGGGGCCGCAGTATACGCGCGGGTGTAAAAGAGCAAAACAAAAAGATAAAAGGTGTGCGCATCAAAGGAGAAGGGAGAAGATGTTGCTACCTTTCTTATTCATGGGCGAAAAGCAAGGGAGCATACGCAAGCATACGGAAGGTTCAGATATAGAGGTTTTGCTTCACTTCGAGATCGAAGCCACCTGTTCTTTCTACCATTCGGCAAGCTTTTCAGCATTTATACCCATTAGTGACAGTTAATCGGTATACCACTACCGGCCGCTGTGGCGATGACATCTGTCATCAGCCCCGCTGGCACTGTACCGCACGAACATGCCTCCTCAACAATTCTACGCACCTCCCAACCTGTGGTAATACCAACCGCAGTATCCCATGACTCGGGTTCAAGCCTTGCCCAAACAAGTGACATACCTCCGAGAAAACGGCGCGCTGATGAATATCAAGAGCCACCTGCTCAAACTATGGAACATCAGCAGTCCATCACCGATGAGGAGACACCTTTCACTGAGGTGATTTACAAGAAGACTCGCAAGGCTGGCATTCCGGTGTTGTTCAAACTCAATGATCCATCCCAGTCGTTCTGGAAGGTCAACCCTAATAAGTTGGCGCAAGAAATCGTCGCAACATCCGAAGAGAAAGTCCTGTCTCAACGCATTGACAAAAATGGAGGACTAACTGTCACTGTGGCGTCCGCCGAAGCAGTGAATAATTTGCTAAAACTAAACGCCCTCTTGGGAATCAAGGTGGATGTCGTTGTACCACAGTCGTACTCGAAAAATCTGGGGAAAATCTGGGGTGTGCCACTTGACTACAGTGATGATCAACTCGGTGAATACCTACGAGACGACGGAGTCATTTCTGTACAACGACAAATGAAGTTCACTCGACGGGAAGATGGTCCCGTAACAAAACATCCACTGACAACAGTAATCCTTAAATTTCGTGAAGACCTACAACTACCTGCACGAATCAAACTAGGATTCCACAGCTTCATCGTGCAAGAACACTGCGAGGCACCAACTCAATGTTACAACTGCCAACGATATGGCCACCTGGCTCGCGACTGCCGCAGCTCCCGTCGCTGCAAGATCTGCGCAGGTCCTCATCACCACAAAGAATGCCCGACACCACGTGAACCGCAATGCGCAAACTGCGGCTCGCGCCATGTATCAACCTATGCAGGCTGTATACGAAAACAGGCGGCGCATGCTGCTAAGAAAAATTAGCTTTTTTATGGCAAACCTACCTCACGGAAAGCTCCAGCTCCTAATCCGGATGTTATCAAGGCAAGTGACAAAATGACCACGCAAAATAAAACATCACGGCCTACCTTTTCCGACGTTCTGCAAGGAATTCCAAGCGGCAGCAACACAACACTAACAGATCACAAGACAAGACAAGGAAGTTCCCACGTCATACCACCAAACCCAAAAGCAACTGCAGATACCGAAGAGGAAGTACCTTCCCATGTGGATAATCGACGCCGTACTAGTTCTAGAACCGCGCATCACATTGAGTCTGCCCATCCAGATCAAGAAAGCAGTGCAAAAGGCATCCTTCACATGTTCCTACCTCTCATGATGGAAGTCATAAAAGAAATTATCAAAGAATACCCGAAAATCGGTTCCAAATCATCCATCAAAGCTCTGTTGGCCATGGAACCACTTCTCAACGGCATTCAATGACTCATCTAACTGAGGTATACGCCACTTCCTTTTTATTACAATGGAATGCACGTCACCTAATGCAAAAACGCAGCGATTTCAAGGATTTTGTCAGTCGCTACAAATTCTCGGTTTTAGCTATCTGTGAAGGCCACGTATCCGAACATTTTCGCCTGCCTGATTACGTGCTATATCCCTCAAACGCTCAGCTCCGTTCCTCGAGGGTAATGTTAGGTATGAGATCCGATCTTTCATCAGTAGAAGTTGTGAGTGACATTGATAGTTCTGGAGAATTTGTTGCTTGTAAGGTACGCATTCGTGGCCTGGTACTTAATATTGTTTGCGTATATATACCACCAGGAAGCACAACAGACTTACAACGCCTAGAAGGTCTCATTGCGTCTTTGGATGCACCTTACATACTGTGTGGAGACTTCAATGCACATAGTCCAACCTGGGGCAGCTCTCATACATCAAAGAGAGGATCAATATTAGACTCAATACTCATTTCAAACAACCTTTGCGTTCTAAACGACGGATCTCCGACATTCCTTAAAGGAGACGGATACACTAGTTGTTTAGACTTGACCATTTGCTCTGCAGGCTTGGTAGCTCAGGCCAATTGGTATACCGACTGCGACACCAGGGGAAGCGATCATCTACCTATCTATATAAGTCACACAAAATTACATCCATTTGTGAAACATAGACATACAGTTTTAACTGACTGGTCCAAGTTTCGTGCACTGAACGCTGACTCAATGACAAATTTGAAGACACTAGATGATTTCGTTTCTGGGATAAAAATTAACCTTGAGAAATCATCACAAACGTTAAAGGTCCCTCAAGGACATCTAGGGGTAGATCCTGAGTACCAGAAATTGCGTGCTCAACGCCGACAGGCGGAACGAAAAGCTCGAAGGAGCGGAATACTTGAAGATCAAATGAAAGCCCGACGAATTCAGACGAAAACAAAACACGAGCTCGAATATTTGAGAAAACGCCGATGGAAGAGTCTTTGGGATTCAATATTACCGAACACCCCGAAAATACAAGCATGGCGCATAGTTCGCTCATTAAAATCGCCGGTGTTACAACGCCAACCATTGCGCGCGCTGGCACTTCATCGAGGTGTTAGCGATATGAATATAGCCGAAGAATTTTGCAGAGCAGTGACGCAACACGTTTCTACAGCCATAGCAAACACGGATCAGAAAACCCCATCCCCGCGGCTATCAACAGATTACAACCATATCATGAATCTGCCATTTAACAAAAGTGAACTGAAATGGGCATTGAGAAAGCTCATACGAAAAAGTGCCCCAGGACCAGATGGTATCACTTCGGCTGCACTAACGAATATTGGGAAGCACGCAATGTCCTTTTTACTGGATATGTATAACCAATGCTGGGCTAGTGGTTGTATACCCCTTGTCTGGAAAGAAGCAATTTTAGTGCCTGTTTTAAAACCTGGAAAATCCCCTCTAAGCATCTCATCTTTTCGTCCAGTGAGCCTCACCAGCGTGCTGATGAAGACGATGGAACATATGGTCTTACAGCGACTAAATTGGTGGTTAGATTCCAGTGGAATATTGCCGTTCCAAATGACCGGTTTTAGGCGGAATATGTCAGCTATGGATTCTGTACTCGATCTCGTGACCTGTGTAGAACACGAACGCAGCATTCACAAAATCACAGTAGCAGTGTTTCCAGACATTCGGCGGGCATTTGACACTGTTAGCCACTGCCATGTTATCGAACAGCTTCAGCGACTAGAAGTAGGTGACCACCTAGTGAACTGGATGAGTGATTTCCTCCATGATCGATCGCTGTACGCACGGACGCCCAATGGTTTTACATCAAAGCACTATGTTTCACAAGGAATTCCTCAAGGAAGCGTATTAAGTCCCACATTATTTAACCTTGTATTGACAGAACTTCCTGGTCTATTACCAGATAATGTATCAATTTCCATGTATGCTGATGACATATCTATTTGGTCATCAGATGCTAATCCCAGTGCAATTCAGACTCGTCTCCAAACTTCACTTTTAATAATTGAACAATTTCTCATTGAACGAGGTATGTCGATCTCTACTGAGAAATCTGCGGTCCTTCCATTTACACGACGAAGACTCAATAACCTTGAACTCACGCTTGGAGGGAAACCTTTGCCTTTGGTGAAGGCTCATCGTTTCCTAGGGGTGTACATTGACCGAAACCTGTCTTGGACAGCTCATGTAAAATATTTAGAAAGAAAGATTGCGCCATACATCAATATCTTACGCTGCTGCTCTGGAACCAGATGGGGTGGCTCTTCGAAAGCACTTTTAACTCTCCACGGAGCACTCGTTACACAGTCCCTTTCGTATTCACTTCCAGCATTATGTGGGCTCTCCCGGACTCTTGAAGTGCGACTCAAACATCTGATAGCCCGCAGCCTCCGAATCTGCTTGGGAGTACCAAGAGCCGCAGCAAGCTTCTTGGTGGTTGCAGAAGCTCACGCCCTCACAATACCGATTCTACGCGAACGGGAAACTCTCCGACATTTCATTCGCCTTCTTACACGACATCATGATCACCCACTCGTTGCAACTATCCGCCGTAGGACATTTTCCAGTGTACATAAGGTAATAATGGCTAATGCAGATATAGTTCCCGCAAACTTCGCACTCCCATTTGAACCTCCAGCTGCGCTTTGGACATTTTACTCTGCAAATATTTCTACATCAGTACCTGGAGTTGTGAAAAAATCGACTTTAAACCAAACCACGCTGAAGCAAATGACACTTTCAATGCTTTCTGAAGCCCCGGATGACGTTACTGCGGTCTACACGGATGGGTCAACAAGCGATTTATCATCTACAGCAGCATTTATAATTCCATCTTTAAATATAGAAAAAAGCTTCTTACTTTCACACAAGACAAGCTCAACTAACACAGAACTATTTGCTATTTTGCAAGCGGTTCTCTACTTTACTCAGAAAACAAGTATTACCAGTTGGACTCTCTACACGGATTCAATGAGCGCACTGAACATGATAAAATACATATCACCAACAAGTTCATCTATTGCCAATAATATTTGTTTCCACCTCTCAAGAGCTATTGAAACTGGACATAAAATTAATTTTCAATGGATCCCTGCACATTGTGGCATTCAAGGAAATGAAGCGGCCGATCGGGCAGCCAAAAATGCCCACAATATAAATACCAAGACTGCAATTACTTTCACGAAAGGAGATACATTAAAGCTGCTCAGAAGGACATCAAGGAAAAGATCCGAGGCTACTTGTTATAAAGACGCTCCTCAAAACTCCCACCTCGAACGGATTGACCCTAACTTAAAATTTTGGATGCCAAGACACATTTCAAGAGCTTCTGAAACATTGATACACAGACTTCGATTAGGTGTTCCTTTTGGACAACACTTCCTACATCGAATACGACAAGTTACCTCCCCTGTGTGCACCACATGTGACGAAATAGACGACGCAGAACACGTACTAATCAACTGCCGAAGGTACACAGATGAACGAGACCATCTTCGAGAACAAATGTCTACTATCGATAACCGCCCATTGTCCCTCACAACACTCCTTGGTCCATGGAACACACGAAGGACCCAACAAACTGTGATCGGGTATCTTGTAGATTACCTGGAGGACACAAAATTAAGTGAGAACTATTGACAACAACAAATTTCATATAGTGTACGCTCCTGGCATGCCGTCACTGTGCTGCGGCCTATTTTTGGAAGGGACAGGACACCGTTCTAGAGGCTGCCGGTCCGAGGACCAGGTGGATACCTCCTCATAGTGAGGACGGTTGCTTAGTCCAAGGACGGTGCCTCCCACCAGGGATGGTCGGACGTACTGTGACGTCGGGTTTTCGATATTGTAAATATGTAAATGATTATTTTATTGCATATATATATATGTATGTATGTGTGTGTACGTGTATGTATGTGTATGTGTGTGTATGTATATATATATATATATATATATATGTGTATATATGTGTATATGTATATGTGTGTATGTATATGTATATATGTATGTACATCATCTTTTTTTTTTTTTGTAAAATTTATATGCTGCTTGTAATTTCAATCAATGGTCTGGAGTAGCCGGCGCTGGTTCTGCAGCTGCTAAAATCTCCACTTTGAACGTTTTGTTTTAATAAAGATCTATTCTCTCTATTCAGGGGCATTAGATCTTCATAAAGTAATTGTATAGGCTCTGCTGGAGCGAGAGTATTGCGTTTCTTTTCATTCTGCCGCCAACTCCGTATTGGCGGAGAAGTGGTCGCGTGCGCCGAGCTGGATGTGACCCTCCTGCGGAAAACCGACCTTGCAGGCGTCGAGTTTCAGGCTGATCTAATTTCTCGCCTTGCATTTGCAAGGTATACGTCATACATTAAAATAAAACAAATTGGAAGATTACTTGTCCAGTCAACATTATGTGTAGCCACTGGATACTGTATAACGGCGTCGTTCTATAGCGCGAAAGATGTTTTAAAACATGTTTTCGAATTATGGGATGAAGACACGGAGGACGATAGCGTAGCTCGCGTCTGCGGCGCTCGAGTAATGATATGCGAGTGGCACATCCGGGCACTTCGGACCAGACAAAAACGTGTAGGTATGGCTCGTGAAAGTACGACGTTTTCGTCGGCTGCAGCATTCTACCGAAAGCATAGAGAGAAAGAGGAGACAAATGAGTGGACGACGGCGCAGGCACACATGTCGCCGCACAATATATCTTCTCTGCTGCGCACGCCGCCACACAGCCAAGCCACCGGCGCATCCATGGCTCTTGCAGAAGCGACGGTCGCTTCCCGCAGTGCGGCTTTGAATCCAACATGCGGTACTGTGCACCGCAAGAGGAGCATATACAACTACTCTAAATCTTCAAGAATGATGCCAGAATACAAGATACAAAAAAAACAAAAAACGTGATAAAACCGAGATTGTAAGGGAAAAAAAACAACTAGTGTGTGGTTTGTTGCCCGCAGGAAACACTCGTCAGCAAAGTTAACGTCTTAAAGCAGACAAGTTTGTTTGCAACAATATTGGTAAATTTTGAACAAATATCGAACTTGTTAGTTCATTTGGCGTTCACCTGGAGAGTTCGTGGTTAAATGTTTCATTGGCGTTTCAAGGAGTGGTGTTGAGGGGCTTTGCTTAATATCTTTGTAAACCGGAACTTCGCTGGGACGTCAGACGGGAAGGGTCTATACAGACAGTTGCGCGTGCATGATTTGACTGCGTTGCGTCGACAAAGAGTCGCGAGTTACCGGATCATTCATGCTTCCTGTGAAGCTCGACAACCGATTAAAGACGTTTGGCAAGCGGCATAGTGTTGTGTGCATGCGGGTGCCCGGAAGAAGACAAGTTCTCGTCCCTCGGGAGCGATCTTTATTTTGTGACTGACGAATTGCTTCTTCGCGGCGCGGCAGCTCGCTGCGCCTCTTATCAGGAGCGTTGATAGCAGGGACCGGAAACGGAAACACGACACTTTCCCCCTCTTATTCGAGAGTAGTTAACCGGGACTAAAACGGTCGGGTGGTTTCCGGGTCCTCGGTGGGTAGCGTGGTTGCGACAGCTCCGCGGAGGTTACTTGTCCCCTTATTTGTGCTGCTGTCGCTGCTGTCATCGTGGCTGATGTTGCTGCTGGCACTGCGAGAGCTGGCTTGTACTTGACAGGTGGCATCAATACTGGTGACAGCTCGTCATCCGACTCAAACGGAGCCTTGCTTGTGGAGGGTGGAGCTGGCAATAAGTGATCCCGGTGTCTCCTCCAGATGTGCACTCCATGCGACGTGGTAACTTGTACCGTGTAAGAAACGGGCCCAGTTCTTTTTAACACCGTTGCATTCAACCACTTGGGTCCATGTCTGAAGTTTCGCACCAGGACGCACTCATTCTCTGAAAACGGCACGTCCAGACCTCCCCGATGAGACGATTGTTGGAACTGGCGTCCAGAAATCAAGGCTTCGAGTGATGGTTTCATAGCATCCAGACGCGTCCGAAGGGCTCTTCCCATCAACAAGAAGGCCGGAGTCTCCTGAATAGTTGTATGAGGGGTGGTGCGGTAGGCCAGCAAAAACTTGTTCAGACTCTCGGCAACAGACTCTGACGCCGGAGCCTTTCGAAGGGCATTCTTCAGAGACTGTACAAAACGTTCTGCGAGTCCGTTGCTGCTTGGATGGTATGGCGCGGTCAGAACTTGGCGCACGCCATGCATCTTGAGAAAAGAACGGAACTCTTCGGAAGTAAATTGCAGACCATTGTCGCCGACATGGGTTTCCGGAAGTCCATGTCGACTGAAAAGTTCGTGTAGTTGGGCAACTGTGCTTGCAGCGGTCGTAGACTTTATCAGGCAGAATTCAGGCCACTTGGAATTGGCATCGACGGCTACAAGAAACATCCAGTTGCGAAAAGGACCCGCGAAGTCCAAGTGTATTCGTTGCCAAGGTCTCGACGGCCACGCCCAGGGATGCAAGGGGGCGTTTGCGGGTGATGCACGTTGCTGCTGGCACGCCCGGCAGAGCTTTACTTGAGTCTCGAGGTCTTTGTCCACCGATGGACACCAGACATAGCTGCGAGCTAGCTCTTTGCTACGGACGTAGCCCCGGTGACCCTCGTGCAGCTCCTCGATGACCAGATGACGCAGCTTAGGCGGCACCACAACACGCATGCCATACATCAGGCATCCCTGATGAACCGTTAGTTCATGTCGTCTGTGGAAGAATGGCTTGAGATCGGCGTCGTCGATGTAGGACGGCCAACCTTTCCATGTGAAATCGAGTACCAGCCGGAGAGTGGAATCACGGGCCTTGCAATCTCTTGACTTGTCACTGGCATGGAATCCAACCTCAGTGTGTAGAAAACTTCCTCATCTGCTTGTTCTTCCACCGTGGAAAAAAAACGGAAGCCGCGAAAAACAATCTGCGTCCATGTTGTTTGCAGACGTCTTGTAAAGCAGGTTGTACCTGTAAGCAGAAAGGGTGACTGCCCAACGCTGTAGCCTGGCAGCAGCAATGGCAGGTATGCCAGCTTTCGGTCCAAAAATGCGCTGCAGGGGTAGGTGGTCGGTGACAAAAATGAAGCTGCGGCCGTAAACGTAGAAGTGAAACTTCTTTACACTAAACACCAGGGCCAGGGATTCTTTCTCAATTTGGCTGTACTTTTCTTCAGACTGAGTAAGGGTACGAGAAGCGTACGCAATTGGTCTAACCGAGCCGTCGGACGTCACATGTGACAGCACTGCGCCGAGGCCGTAAGCCGACGCGTCGCATGCCAGCTGGAGCGGTGCGTTAGGGTCGTAGTGGACTAAGACTGAGAAGTCGACAGGGCCGACTTGATCTTGTCAAACGCTTCCCGGCACGCAGAGTCCCACGACCAGTTGACGTTCTGTCGAAGCAGCCTGTAGAAAGGATGCGCCAGCGTTGCAAGATGCGGCGTAAACTTGCCATAGTAGTTAATCAGTCCCAGTAAGGAACGTAGCTGTGAGACGTTAGTCGGAGCTGGAGCTTTGAGCAATGCTTCGATCTTCTCAGTTGTCGGCTGCACACCGTTGGCGCTGAAGATGTACCCGAGGTACTGGAGGCGGTCGCAATGAAACACGCATTTGCTGCGCTTGACGCGTACACCGCGTTCTGACAACCTTCGGAGAGTCGCTTCTAGGTTGGTGAAGTGTTCCGCGTGCGTAGTTCCAGTAATCAAAATGTCATCAAGGTAGCACGTAACACCTGGCAAGTCTTTAAGCATGTTCTCCATAACACGCTGAAAGATGGCGGGCGCCGACGCCACGCCGAACGGCAGGCGGTTCACGCTGAAAAGTCCCCTGTGAGTGTTTAATGTTAGGAACTTCTTGGAGTCGTCCGCCATTTCGACTTGATGATAGGCCCTATAACGGTCGATCTTCGAGAAGTAGCGACCACCGGTGAGAACCGCAAGAATCTCGTCCAGTCGAGGCAGCGTGTATTGATCCGTATCCAGAATGGGGTTCAGCGTTGTCTTGTAATCGCCGCAGAGGCGTATAGAACCGTCCTTCTTAACAACTGGGACTACTGAAGTGGCGAACTCGCTTTTAGCGACAGGCGTAATGATTCCGAGCTTTTGAAGCTTTTCGAGCTCTTCTTCAACCGCGGAACGAAGTGCAAAAGGGACGTTTCGAGTTTTCGAAATTTTGGGCGGTCATCTTTCAACACGAGGAGAGCCTTCTCCTTGGATCTTCCCCAGTTCATTGTTGAAGATGTGCTTGTATTTTTCAAGTAGAGGTTCTGAATCCCCCGATGCATTAGGCTTAGCAGCGCTAGAGCCATGGTCCTTGAGCTGGTGCACGCCGCAAATGACTGTCCAGTTCAGGTTGACGTGCTCGAGCCACTCACGTCCTAGCAGAGGAGGCCCACGCTGATCCAAAACATACAGAGGCAGGAGCCGTCGCTGGTTGTTGTGCGTCACGTGCACATGAATGACGCCACACGGCTTGACGACTTCGCCAGTGTAAGTCCGCAGTCGACGTTCCGTGGGCTGCATTGACGACGAAGCAAACAACTGCTGGTACTGTTTGCGTAAAACTACGGAGACAGTCGCACCCGTGTCGAGTTCCATACGTAGCGGCACCCCATCCACAGAGACGTCGACCAGTATTGGCGGCCGTGCCGCCGAATTTATGCTGAGTAA